CTGAGACAACGGATCACCTGGTTTGCTAATGATGGCTTCGGCAATAAAAGATGAAAAGTCAACTTTTCTCGATCCCTCGAGATCGGTAGACTCGGAAGAAACTGGATGGTGGCGAGAACAGTCAAAATGTGACTGCACATAATGTGTGGAGACTTGACTACCTTCTTGCGGACACTTAGGGTTAGAGTCCTTTAGGATTCTAGAGTTCATAGTTGAACTGGCTGCTTGAGGGGATAGAGCATAGTGCGCGGAAGTACGCACCACCTCCCTGTTATTCTGAAGACGTTTGTAACAGTCCTTGACATGGTGACCAGGCCTTTTGCAGAACTGGCATACCGCTCGACGATTGAGAGTTGATCTTGGTTTCTCTCTGGACTGTGATGCCTTCAAATGTTGGCCAACAGGATGATTGCTGCCAAAAAGGGGAAGCACGGGGTTGAGGCGGTTTCCTGACACTGGTGGTTTCTTATGCACCAACATATATGTGTCAGCCGACTCAGCAGCCTTCTGGATGTCAGTTATCTTGTTATCCAGTATGTGTAGTCGTATCTCTTCAGGCAGGGACGATAGGAATTCTTCCCTTAGGATAAGTGACCTGAGTTTCTCAAACTCAGAAACTTCTTCAGAGTGTAGCCACCTTGAGAATATTTTCTCCTTTTCAAAGAGAAATTCCACATATGATTGTGTGGGTAACTTGCGGAGTGTTCGGAATTTTGTCCGATAGGCCTCGGGCGTCAGTGCGTAGGCCTTTAAAATGGCAGTCTTGACCAAACTATAGTTATTTTGAACGTCGTGAGAGAGTGCCTGGTATGTTTTTGCAGCTTTCCCAGTAAGGACAGAACTCAATAAAGCAGTAATGGAGGTTTCGGGCCATTCACAAGTCTTCGCTAAACTCTCAAACGAGTTAAAGAAAACGACCAAATCTGTTTCATCAAATTTAGGAACTAATTTCCCAAATTTGGCAATCACTTGTCCTACCGACAACTTTTTTGGATCTACCAGAGAAGTGACATCACTAACTTGACCAAACTCTAATTCCAACCTCCTCTTATCTAAAGCAATTTTAGCCTCTAACTCCTGTTTCTCTAAAGCAACTTTCTCCTTCTCTAGAGTAACTTTCTCCTTCTCTAAAGCAATTCTAGCTTCTAATTCTACCTTCTCTAGAGTTTTCTCCTCGCGGAGCAACACACCAGCCAACAAACTTTCATCAAATACTCCTTCATTAATGAAATGAACAACAATTTTATCTCTCAACACCTCTGACTTCTGCGTAACAGAATAATCCAATTTCAATTCCTTAACAACACTAACCAAAACTTTTCTACTCAACTTTTCTACATCTTCAACAGTAGGATTAGCCAAAAAAGACTCCATAATACTAACTTGAAAATCACAACAAGCCTAGATCCTTTAAATTAATACACAGCGTTGGGCCGTGTACTTGACCTCTAAATGTAGGACGTGACACGTCTGCTTATTTGACCTAGATACTCTAGCCTGAGCGCGCGTTGTAAGAACACTGCGCTACTGGATATAAAACAACTAAATCCAACTAACCTTAGTATTCAACTGATATAACCAACAACTGGAACGACAGATTAAATCTCGGCGAGACCCCACTTTGTAACGTTAACCTATCTATCAGCCAAATAGAAGGAGAACGTCCCCGGATTCTTTTTTCGGGGTCATATGCAAATACCTTACGGCCTAAGTGGATGAACACTTAACACAACGACCCACTAGGGCTCGAATTTAATGTCTAGGGAAGCTAGTGATACTATTGTAATTAACACTCATCCAATCTACATACGACCTTTTAATCAGCGAACTCAGAAGTGGCAGAACACAAGGTTGAACTGAATAAAATATTTAATGTATAAAATATCAAAACCCAACTTACACAATGTAGGAAAAAACACTATCACAGATTTCTACACTGTCTAAAGAACAGCTACAGGCCACACAACACTGCTGTAGTTTCTAGAATTACTTAGCGACAAGTAATATTAAACTAGAAGACTAAATCAACTTAAGAAAGCAAGGCACACACAGGTCTTAAGTACTCTCACGTTCAAATGGTCAGAGTCTATAGCCGGACAATATGGACGGCTGCCTGACAAGGTAAAACTGCCTCGTAGTCTGCCAGGTCAAGATAAACTGCCTCGTGTTGCGAGTGTGCAGTGCAATTAAAGACTTCTGTGACAGGGGAGGTTATCCTCAACTCATGTCGCCATTGGTTGGGATAATCATCTGATCAGAATCATTCAATCAGATTTTAATGGAAAATTTCTATGTCTCAAACACCTTAATAAGTCAGTGGAAAAACCCCAGGTGTTACACCATCATTCCATATAAGGAATTATACAATGTCAAAATAAAAATGACTCGACCTAAGTAGGTCACAGCACATATATATGTATTTTTTTGAAAACTCGCGTGTATCTTAACCCCTTCTCTCCCCCCCCCCCCCCCCTTTACACCACCAGCACCAAACCAACCGCATATTTGAACGTTTGCTTTTTCTCTAACAATGTGACGAAAACGTGCGTTGTAATGACAATAAGTATTATGTCCTTAACTTCAGATAGAAGTTAATCGTTAATTAATGAAAACTTGCGTTTAAATAACAATAAATATTCTGTCCTTAACTTCAGATCGAAGCATTTGTTAATTAATGAAAACGTGCCTTTTAATAACAATAAGTATTCTGTCCTTAACTTCAGATCGAAGCATTTGTTAATTAATGAAAACGTGCCTTTTAATAACAATAAGTATTCTGTCCTTAACTTTAGATCGAAGCATTTGTTAATTAATGAAAACGTGCCTTTTAATAACAATAAGTATTCTGTCCTTAACTTCAGATCGAAGCATTTGTTAATTAATGAAAACTTGCGTTTAAATAACAATAAATATTCTGTCCTTAACTTCAGATCGAAGCATTTGTTAATTAATGAAAACGTGCCTTTTAATAACAATAAGTATTCTGTCCTTAACTTCAGATCGAAGCATTTGTTAATTAATGAAAACGTGCCTTTTAATAACAATAAGTATTCTGTCCTTAACTTTAGATCGAAGCATTTGTTAATTAATGAAAACGTGCCTTTTAATAACAATAAGTATTCTGTCCTTAACTTCAGATCGAAGCATTTGTTAATTAATGAAAACTTGCGTTTAAATAACAATAAATATTCTGTCCTTAACTTCAGATCGAAGCATTTGTTAATTAATGAAAACGTGCCTTTTAATAACAATAAGTATTCTGTCCTTAACTTTAGATCGAAGCATTTGTTAATTAATGAAAACGTGCCTTTTAATAACAATAAGTATTCTGTCCTTAACTTCAGATCGAAGCATTTGTTAATTAATGAAAACTTGCGTTTAAATAACAATAAATATTCTGTCCTTAACTTCAGATCGAAGCATTTGTTAATTAATGAAAACGTGCCTTTTAATAACAATAAGTATTCTGTCCTTAACTTCAGATCGAAGCATTTGTTAATTAATGAAAACGTGCCTTTTAATAACAATAAGTATTCTGTCCTTAACTTTAGATCGAAGCATTTGTTAATTAATGAAAACGTGCCTTTTAATAACAATAAGTATTCTGTCCTTAACTTCAGATCGAAGCATTTGTTAATTAATGAAAACTTGCGTTTAAATAACAATAAATATTCTGTCCTTAACTTCAGATCGAAGCATTTGTTAATTAATGAAAACGTGCCTTTTAATAACAATAAGTATTCTGTCCTTAACTTTAGATCGAAGCATTTGTTAATTAATGAAAACGTGCCTTTTAATAACAATAAGTATTCTGTCCTTAACTTCAGATCGAAGCATTTGTTAATTAATGAAAACTTGCGTTTAAATAACAATAAATATTCTGTCCTTAACTTCAGATCGAAGCATTTGTTAATTAATGAAAACGTGCCTTTTAATAACAATAAGTATTCTGTCCTTAACTTCAGATCGAAGCATTTGTTAATTAATGAAAACGTGCCTTTTAATAACAATAAGTATTCTGTCCTTAACTTTAGATCGAAGCATTTGTTAATTAATGAAAACGTGCCTTTTAATAACAATAAGTATTCTGTCCTTAACTTCAGATCGAAGCATTTGTTAATTAATGAAAACTTGCGTTTAAATAACAATAAATATTCTGTCCTTAACTTCAGATCGAAGCATTTGTTAATTAATGAAAACGTGCCTTTTAATAACAATAAGTATTCTGTCCTTAACTTCAGATCGAAGCATTTGTTAATTAATGAAAACGTGCCTTTTAATAACAATAAGTATTCTGTCCTTAACTTCAGATCGAAGCATTTGTTAATTAATGAAAACGTGCCTTTTAATAACAATAAGTATTCTGTCCTTAACTTCAGATCGAAGCATTTGTTAATTAATGAAAACGTGCCTTTTAATAACAATAAGTATTCTGTCCTTAACTTTAGATCGAAGCATTTGTTAATTAATGAAAACGTGCCTTTTAATAACAATAAGTATTCTGTCCTTAACTTCAGATCGAAGCATTTGTTAATTAATGAAAACGTGCCTTTTAATAACAATAAGTATTCTGTCCTTAACTTTAGATCGAAGCATTTGTTAATTAATGAAAACGTGCCTTTTAATAACAATAAGTATTCTGTCCTTAACTTCAGATCGAAGCATTTGTTAATTAATGAAAACGTGCCTTTTAATAACAATAAGTATTCTGTCCTTAACTTCAGATCGAAGCATTTGTTAATTAATGAAAACGTGCCTTTTAATAACAATAAGTATTCTGTCCTTAACTTTAGATCGAAGCATTTGTTAATTAATGAAAACGTGCCTTTTAATAACAATAAGTATTCTGTCCTTAACTTCAGATCGAAGCATTTGTTAATTAATGAAAACGTGCCTTTTAATAACAATAAGTATTCTGTCCTTAACTTTAGATCGAAGCATTTGTTAATTAATGAAAACGTGCCTTTTAATAACAATAAGTATTCTGTCCTTAACTTCAGATCGAAGCATTTGTAAAGGGGTTCAAGCTGTCGGGTGCAGCCTACAAGCGTGTCATGACACTCTTGCACCAAGAGATGAACAATGGGCTCAAGAAACAGTCACACACAGTCGCAGACATCAAGATGTTTCCTACCTATGTCAGGTCATTACCAGACGGCTCAGGTAGGCACACAATATCTTAATCGTAAACCTATTGTTTCAGTTAAGTTTCTGTTCATCTTAAACAAAAATTAAAGGTTTTTGTAAATACTTTTCAAAATGTGACATTAGAATTAGATCAAAGCTTCTTTAAATGACATAATTTTTCGATTTTCAGAAAAGGGAGAGTTCCTTGCATTGGATCTTGGTGGCACCAACTTCAGAGTTTTGCTAGTCAGACTTCAAGGTCATGACATAGATATTCAGAGCAAAACGTACCTGATCCCACAGAGGATTATGCTTGGTACAGGAACCCAGGTAAGCTTTCTACTGTAACTTAATGAAAGTGTACACCTTGGACGGGAACAGGGCATTTCCCCCCCCCCCCCCGTCAATTACCCTCCGGAATCCCCCCCCCCCCGTCATTACCCCCCCAAAGTAATTACCCCCCTGTCAGTTACCCCCCACCCAGTAGGACATTACCTCCCCGGTCATAGCGGTTCAGCTAGGGTTAGAGCTAAGGTTTGAGTTTGGGCTAGGGTTAGGGTTATTGTTAGTACCTGGGTTAGGCTTAAATCAATGTCTAGATTTGGGTTTGGTTTTTTGGTTTATTTTAGGGTGAGATGAATTCTTAGGTTTTTCGTCTTTGTCTTATGGTTAGGATTAAGGTATATATAGATATAGTGTTGGTGTTAGAATCAGAATTCTATCTTGGTGGATGGGGGGGGGGGGGGTAATTCCCCAGGGGGGTAATTGACGGGGGGGGGGGTAATTGCTCCAGGGGGGGGTAAATTCATGTAGCCCACCTTGGACATGGTTTCTGTTCACTAAATATTCCTTAAAAGCTTTTTGAGTATAAAAAAACATGAGCTGACTCACAATGGTTGGGGTAAGCCTAACATATCATTTGTTCCCTCATCTAAGTGATGTTGGTTCAAAACACTCCCAGTCCACCCCTCTATAATTTTACAGACTGTATGACCCCCAGAAATGGCGTTTGTTTCATTAGCCTCACTCGTGTGGTCAGTATTAAGCCCCCACAGCTTTAACTTTACCCTTCATGGGTCAGGTAAAGGCTGCTTGATATGGGGCTTACCACACTATCCTCTTATACATTGAAGTCAGAGAAACATAAACTCTACTACATACAGCCCATGGGGCTAGACATGGTGCTGACCACACTATCCTCTCAAATCCTGTGGTTAGAGAAACATTAGCTTGACCACATGGGTGGTCTCTTGGAAACTTGTTAAAGATATACATCAACCCTTTGTATGAAACACCTACTTAAAACCGTGCATTGGTGCATTGCGCAATGTTAACCATTTCTAAATTTATTGGCCCTCTTTAATTAAACATTGATTTTTTATCCCTGCTAATTAAGTGCTTTAATCAGTTTTGTGTGAAATAATAATTTCATTAAAAGACATTCATCTAGTAAACGTATGTTATTTTTGTAGCCCATAAAACTAAGCCACTGTTAAACTAATTGAACAGTAAACAGTTGGCAAAACTACTTTTAGATTTGAAGGTTGTATTATTTATATCGCTACATTTGTAGGCTCCCCATGGCAGGTACTCATTAGAGCTGGCTTGGCTCAAATGTGTTAATAGTTTATCTCACCTAAAGCAGACTCTTAAATCGAATGCTAATCTCGCTGAACAAACCATTAACATGTATTTGATAGAGTCGAATCTGTATTTCTGATCAATTTTTGCGTAACTTGAACCTAAACCCCAAGTCTACAAGTATAATCATCGGCTGAGTCAAGGGTAGGTAAGAACTGTACAATCTTACCCAAAGAAATCTCCGTATAAGCCTAGATTTTGCAAATGCAATATGAATTTAAATGAATTTAAATTTAAAATAATTAGTAGTAATAAAAAAAAGTAGGCGCTTATAACTTTAACGATGTATTTCAAGTGTATTGTCGGTGTAAACATTCCTCAGAAGTCCCCATTGCGTTATATCAATAAGCAAACTCACACGCAAATCTCTGGAACCTTCCATTGTGTGTGGTGAATTCGTTATCATAACGCTGCCCTCATCTTTTATTCATCACACTACCATGTACGGAGCACAGCGCTTCTAGGAAGAAATGACATAATGCATATCCATTACCTATTTTTTTCTACTCTCTGTATCTTTTACTATTTCTACACACTTTAAATTGATACACTGAGCCTTACTTTTGCTGATATTTCTTTTAACTATAAAGGTAACAAAATTCGCCTCTAAGAACTAAAATAATATTAGTATATTCTTGCACTGCTTTTGCAATAGCCGGGATAAAATAGTTCATTGTTTCTGGTACGTAAGTGGGATGATAATCTAATCTCTCGTATAGCAGGGTCCGGATTAAGGTCTAGCTTAGGGTTAAAGTACGATTATCATGAATGGAAAGCATGTCTAGCTTACAACTTCAGGCTAATGGCTATTGGAAGATTATGTACAAATTAGCTAGAACTTTTAGATGTTAAAATGGATCATAGAAACAACATACTAATTAATCATTAATTCACAGAACAATAACAAATCCTTTAAAGGGTTTTACTTGACCCGATTGATTCTAAAAGCTTTTTAATGGAGTTTTATTCGAAAAAAATTTAAAGTTGATTATTGTTAATTTTTGAAACTATTACTTCTGTAAATTTGTAAACATAATCACTATTTCCTAATTTGAAATAACATATCGCGTGCAGTTTCAAAACGCCTCACCTAACCTCTGGTATTTGCATAGTCAACGCTATCCTCGCCCAAACTGTCGATCACAGCCCAAGGCCACCTGTACTTTAATACACCATTTTCTAGGCTAAATATTCAATCACACAAACCCCATTGTGTGTAATGAATATCCACACTAACCGCGTAGCAAATGGGACCTAAGCTCAATCAGAGAGCTACATGCCCAGGGCCGAACTCCCCACCACAATCAACGACACCTTCCACATCTTTTGTTTCGTGTCTATCGTTGTATCCCGGTCAACACATGTTAATCACGCCACACATTTGTATGTATATCAATAGAATCAGCTGTTGTTGACCTCTTCGTCAGCATATGTATGTATTAGGAGACAAAAAGTTGTATAGGATGAAGGGTTGACATCTTTAAAATATTGGTTTTTAGATGCTTTGTAGTGGATATGTATCTTTTTATTCGAGCACCACCTGTTTATGTATGCTTTCATCCATGTATCAGTCCATCTGTCACTACCTCCCTCCCTCCCTTCCTCCCTCCCTCACTACCTCCCTACCCCCATCTATCCACCCACCCATCCATCCATCCAAACATCCTTCATCCATCCACCCATCATCAATCCATCCATCCAATAATCTGTCAATCCCCCATCCAATAATCCATCCACCCATTCAATAATCCATTCATCCATTCATCCTATACTCCATTCATTCATCCATCCAATAATCCATCCATCCATCTATCAATCCATCCAATAATCCACCCATTCAACCGTCCGTTCATCCGTTCGTCCGCCCATCCACCCGTCCTTACTCCGCATACAGCAATACCCCAATACACCTATTCCCTCATCCATTAGTTCATCCATCAATCTCTTCCATCTATCCATCCATCCATCCACCCCGTCCTCATCCATTAATTCATCCATCCATCAATCTCTTCCATCTATCCACCAATTTCCCCACCAGCCTACCACCCCAATGACCCACCCACCACCCCAAGGACCCACCCACAACCCCAATGACCCACCCACCACCCCAATGACCCACCCACCACCCCAATGACCCACCCACCACCCCAATGACCCACCCACCACCCCAATGTGTTTCCTTCCTTATCAGTTCTCCCTGTCTTCACTCAACAAAAATGTATTCTATTCTCCCCAGCTGTTTGACCACATAGCCGACTGCATTGGAAAATTCGTCACAGAACACGATCTAACGAACCACTCCCTGCCCCTGGGCTTCACCTTCTCCTTCCCCTGCCAGCAGGAGGGTCTGGCTAAAGCCAGGCTGTCCAAATGGACAAAAGGTTTCCGTTGTGAGGGCGTCGTGGGCGAGGACATTTGCCAGTTACTGCAGGAGGCTCTCAAGAGAAGAACTGTAAGTAGTTTTATGTTCGTCATTTTATTATTTCATTTTTAATCGTAACCATGTTGAAACAAATTGTCGATGAATCACATACATCATTTGTTGTATTTTATCTTGTTGAACACAACAACGGTGTCATTTAATGTTTTGTTTAAAAAAAAACCAATCTTTCTTGTTATTTTTGTATTGACAATTTATGGGTACTAGGAATATTCTTGGTCAGACTAGATTTTTTTTTTATTCAACCCTCTAATAAATAATGGACTGTTTTCATTACTACTGATTGAACTGTTATTACTTTTTAAACTAGTAAGTCTTTATAATTTAGCTATCCTTTGATGATTTTGAATTTTTTTTTTAGCTTACTGCCCTGTATTAACTCACTATGTCATTTAAAACATTTTTTTTTCATTGTTTCCTTTACACCAGCATCCGAAATAGAAACAATATTAAATTAAATTTGCTTTTCCCCCTCCCTCCCTCTCCCCCCTCCCTCTTCCCAACACCACCACCCCCACCCCCTTGCTTGTACTAGATCTAATTCTGCTATTTCGTTCAGCTCTTTAATGTGTAAGGAGAATTTTTACAATTTTTTACTTCAACCTAATATTTAATTTATTTAGACTTTAAAAAAAAAAACCAATCTAAAACCTAATTTCATTAAAATTAATTGTTTGCTACATTTGAACATAACGACCTAATTAAATGTAAATTTTAAAATGTGTGTAACGCACGGGATAAAATTTTAGGCGCCCTTAAGTTGGAGTACACCGGTCTACGTAATTCGGTCACCTCGTTTAATGCTGCTCGATACAGCTAGGGCCACTGTGACATGAACTGAAATGTACATTTTTTACTGCTAGTTTCGCCTGCTACATCGCTAGAAAACATAACGTGATGGTAAAATGCCATTATTACCTGTATCTTTGTGTTGGCATTGTGCTATAATCTGTGTGTAAATAATATTTAATATTAAACGCAGAGGTAAACTGCTCACTCTAGAAAAATTAATGTACGCCTATTGCTAAAATAAGTAGGTTAGTCTACTTTCTTGACACGTGCTTATAGTACACCATTGCATCATAGTTTGTAAAAAGATATTAATATTCTTTCTTACTTCTTTACACAGCCCTTTCTCTCCCTATCACAATGTCTAAAGGGTCTTAGCCCCCTCCCCCTTCCCTTCTCATCCCCATTTCTTGGGTGTGACGCACTTTTTAGACCACCCCTCACAGCTGAGGTGAGTTTAAACTAGGTTTCGTTTATTCTTAGAATTGGTATTTTGGAATGAGTGTTGATCGCCTAGTACATTTCATTTTCAACAGTAAAGTATCATCTCCTCTGTGTACACTACACTATGGAAACAGTTTAGTAGTGCTCAGGCGATCATTGCAAAGAGTTTAATACGATAACACATCCACCCATTAGCCCTAACCACATATCAAAAAGCCTAATCCTATCATTAAGCTATCTCCAGTTAGCCGTATGCAATTATTATACCCACAACACCTGCAAAAACGTAGATTATCTTCCTGTTTCTCCGCCAAGAAAAAAATTAATTAATTTTTAAGGTGTGCTTTATAGATCATATAGCATATATTCTTGATTTTAAAAGAAGGGTTGTATTTAATGTAGAAAAAAAAAGATAGCCTATATATCACGCGTCGGTCTTCTATACATCGTCCTTTTTTTTGGGGGGGGGGGGGGGGGGAATTTTTAATAAAAAGTTGCACACCTGTTTTCATTTAAAATAAATCAAGACTCGAGCCGTAGAAAGGAAAGTTAACTCTAAAAAGATAAACTTTATAAAAGTGCACAACTTCCCACTAAAGTTTAGTATTTTTGCTCGCTGTGATATTTATAGACGGCTATCGCGAGATATGATAAGTTGTTATGAAAGAACGGGGTGTTTTTTTTTTCCTTATTCGTGAGTCGTCGTCGTCGTACCCCCCCCCCCCCCCCCCCCACACCCCCAACCCCTCGGGTTACATCAAGTATATCTTGAGTATTTTAATTAGCTCATAACATTAGCATGCCCTTTGTTTAGTGCTATATGAAATGAACTTAAACTTTTATTCCTGCGACTTACATAACGCAGCCTACTTATTTTTACCCACTTCAATTGCCAAACCAAAATCCGCGACTTTTTAAGCTAAATTAAAAATAACCATAACAACCCGTTTAGCAGTAAATTTTTCCCTTAAAATGTTTTAAATCTAACACCCCTTATTGGGAGCTTAAACCCTTTTGTTAAGTGTTTTTTTTTCTTGGTTTTCGTTTTAAATTTTAAATAAGGAAGATTTCCCTCCAAGTATTACGTGTCTGCTTTTCTTTCAAGATTTTGCTTCAGTAGTCTTAGTCCAGCCCAGAACAAACTACAAGGCAGCAGTTGTTTGATTCTGGGCTTTCGTCTCCTAGATAGTTTGCCTCATCTGCCCGGGGTACGAACTCGGGACTGAAGCGTTAACAGTCATACACACTCCGCCCGACCACGCCGTACCTAATCGATAATTGATTGTGATCCTGGCAGCTGACCACTATCACAGTCCTTGATGAACCGTTCCCCCCCCCCCTCCCCTCTAATCACATACACATATAGACACTTGGGTGTCCTATATACCAACCTCCACAACCCTCTTTTATTGTACTGTTGTTGAATGTATATAGCACAGCGTGTGAATGTAAATATTGGAAATATCGAACGGTTGAACTTCCTGATTGAAGTTCGTGACTTGAAGTTTAATTAAGGTAATTAGTAAACTCAAAATAAAGAATACAAGTTAAAAAAAAACTCTATTGCATAATTAACAAAGTACACCTCCCTTACCCCACCCCCTTTCCTTGTAAAGTTTTTAAGGTTGTTTCATGGTTAAATTATCAAACAACTTATTTCTTCATTGATGTAACACATTCGCTGTGAGAATTATAAAATAGCGTAGTTTTATTCAGAACTGTTTTGAGTATGTCGGGGGGGGGGGGGGGGGGCAAATATTAAAGGCTTTAACGCATGAATATATTTCTTACAGTTACAATAGTTGTAACACACTCATATTTTTACAATAGCTCTAACACACGCATATTTCATATAATAGCAGTAGTTAGAAACTTCTTGGATTTTAAAAAAAAGTTTATTATTATTAATAGCTGAAAACGGGGTTTTTAATGTATTTTTTTTAAATTACTAAGGTTTTTCGAAAATAACAAGTCCAAATGTTTTCCCTTTATTATAAAAACGAAACAAACGTTTAAAATGGATCCAAAGTTTATTAAATACAATTTTTAAATGCCCTAAAATGTGTTGGATAATGAAGAAGTCATGTAACAGTCCTAAAATGGATTGCTTACTTTCTGCTTGACGTCATTTGTTTACCCCGCCCTTCGTGCAGACCAGACTTAACATCTTCTTCTCGCTTTATGTAATACCAAAAACATGGAGGTTGTCTGTTGATTTTTTTTTTTTTTGAGTCAGCAACCTGTAAGTAAGCCAAGGACATAACGTGTGTGCGTGCGTGTTCCTTTGTGTATGTGTATGTAACTTTAGACCGTGTTGCACAATAGTCAGCTACATTTTTTTTCATTTTCACCTCCTCCCCCCCCCCCCTTTTTTTTTTTCCCCACGAGTTACCTCGTTCAAGAGTTATAGTCCTTTTAGGTATTGAATACAGTTGCTTTAATGTGAAAGTTGAAGTGCGTACGCTTATTCTTTTTTTAAAAAATTCGCACATGAGTAATAAAAATAATATACAAACTCAGAAATTTAAAAAATAATAACATTCCAGGACGCTATAAAATGTTTTTTTTGTTATCAATTATGTTGGAAATTAAAGTTAGGTTTGCGTTAATAATATCGTGACACAAAGAATAATTCAGGATTCTTCTCATGCAAGACAATACTACATCATGTAAAGAGCTGTTTAAGTCAGTATTGTTAGTGGAGTTAGGGCTAGGGTTAGGGTAGTGTTGGCAGCACTCACAAAATAACTTCCAAATAATTTAAAATTATTACACTCAGCTGATTTAATTAGCTCAGTGGTTCCCTAACTATTGTAACCTATTTGTGTTTATATATGTATATGTATATCTAAATGTATAGATATAGAGATATTGAAAGAAAAAAAAATCGTTCTTTTTTTTTTTTGCTACCACTTTTCTAATTGTAAAAGTAGCCTTTCAGAATTTCCACTACTCTTCCACAAACAATTAAGCTTCAAAGACTAATTAGAGATAATTATTCAGTAATCAATTATCTATTTCAAGAAGCGCTTCACGCGTTCACGGAGTGTACACAATTCGTCTTTTTTTTTTCAAAAGATAATTGTCTTCTCAGTTTATTCCATGTTTTTAAAAAATTTGGATGGTCTTTATCTCCCGCTCTCAGCGACAAGGTCACTGGGTCACTAGTGACCGTCTGCTGGGCGACAGCCATCTTGTACGATACGAGAATTCTTAAAGAGAAATATTTATGGAGAGTGTCGACAATAGGCTTGTGGTACTCTTTACGTAAAGAGATACAATGTGTTGTGTGTGTATGCACGAGTTTGCCGCGTGCAAAAAGACTAATGCCGAGTGTCAGAAAACACGCCCCCCCCCCCCTCTTACACACACACACCTACACTTGCATTAGTTTTGATGCCTAGACCAAGTGACCCACTGGTTGTTGTAGTACTGTGGTCTCGTTAGATACTCATTTAGCACTTTTAATTGTTAATTAAATATTAAACCATGGTGTATGTAATCTGTTTTTTTTTTTACTTACGCTTCTTATGTACACTTTTAATGGACACCAGCGAGTTGACGAGATTCCCTCCGTAATATTGTTGACATGGAATAAAAATGTGCTTTTTTAGATTTAGGACCATAAAACTAATAAAAGAAATTTTTTTATTAAAAACTTAAGCCTAAAATTAATTCAGAAATGTAATAGTTTTAGAATCAATGCTATACAAGGTGCAGATCCAGAGAACTTGAAAATAATTTGTTGAGTTTAAGGCTACATTTCTATTTATTTTCATCAAGCCTAAGTTATAACCCGATGTTTCACTTTCGTAAGACAAACAGTGATTGGCTGTAAAGGAACTCCGTGATCGATTTCTGACAGCCCCACTTTATAGTTATTTTGTTTACAAAACTTTGCAGATCAAATTTTTAAATAACTATGCAAATTTAAACACCATGACCTATTGTTTCTATTTTTAGCTTACAATGTGTACAATAAAATTTATGTCGGCCATTGTTTATGTCGCCATTACACGTGAAAACCAAATTGTTTTTTCTTTTTTTTTAATTTTTATTTAGTTACCGAAAATATTAAAAACATCAAATATATCCAATCTTTAGTAAAGTCCGAAAAAAACCAGACAGACAGGATTTTATAACCATATTAATTGTAACTACGCCGTGCAAGATTTTTAAATGAATTTATACACCTCTCAAATACCTTTGAGACTTTTCTCGCTGGTGTCCATTACGTGGATCTTCTTTTAATTACATGGTTTTTTAATTAGTTTGGTAATGTGTTATACCAGTACCCGACAAATGCCACAGTAATTAAATCCTCCTTAAAAAAGGAGTAGTTTACTTTTAGGTCACTGGTAGCAAGATAAATACAAATAAAATTTAGCTGAAGTTAGCGGAATACTATCACTAACCCATTCCTGGTCAGAGGGGGAGGGGATGGTATTTCTATTAGGCAGCACCCTGCGGAACGAAATAGAAAAAAAAAGTATATTTAAATAGAAAAATACATACTTATAAATACTATTTTTATAATTGCCCCAACCCCCAAATTACAAATCCCTACCCCCAAGCAAAACGTATGATAGAAACCCCGGCGAAGACATTCACTTTGAATAACGACTTATACTATAGAGACCAAATCTGTTTCTTTTATTCTCAAAACTGTGAGGTCATCGACCCCCTCACATTGCACAAGTGGTTTTTTTAATTCCAGAACAGCAAGGTGGAAATAGTTGCTGTGGTCAATGACCCCGTCAGATTGCATATGTTTTCTTTTGATTCCAGAACTGCAAGGTGGAGATAGTTGCAGTGGTCAATGACACCTAAGATTGCACATGTTTTCTTTTGATTCCAGAACTGCAAGGTGGAGATAGTTGCAGTGGTCAATGACGCCGTGGGGACGCTGATGTCTGCTGCCCATGTTGACCGGAACTGTGAGATCGGGCTCATCCTTGGCACCGGCTGCAACGCCTGCTACATGGAGTACCTGGACAACGTCGGCACCTGGAAGCACGCAGACGACCATCATCCTAAGCAGGTAACTACACCTTCATCGTCCTCTTTTCCCGTCAGAGCTTAATTAAGTCACAAGGGGCAGATGAAGTAGAGTTCATCTGATTGTATTACCTTGGCATATAAATGGACAGTGTGGTCAGTATTTTGGCTTGATTATCCCTAACGTGAGACGTACCAGTCGATGCCGTATGGACATTTTAACTAGGTTTATACCTACTGACACGAGTGTATGTATCCACAGTATTTTAATATTTTGTTAGATAAAAAAATTTAATAAAGGCGCTCAGAAGAAGTCTAAACAGGAATTCAGTTGTTTCAAAAGCTACAAATAAAAAGAAGAAAAAAACCAAACTGACCTCCTACGACCCATATGAGTAAAATAATAATTATATTCCCCTTCCAAACCTACGGTCAATGGGACAAGTGAAGTAGAGTTCACCTGTTTCTGTGACCTCGGCATATGAAAGGATAGTATAGTCAGCACTATGCCCAGCCGCCTTTACTTTCCCTAACGTGAGTTAGATACCCCTCTCAGCTGGGTGGACCCAGGGACAGTCTACTGACTTGAACCCGGATTCGATCTCGAGACAAACAGGTTAAGACTCTAGCTCCCTACCGCTAGGCCTCTCCGTCCTCCACGACCCACATAGCAGGCAAAATTAATTTAGTTTTAACCCCCCCCCCCCCCCCCAAAAAAAAAAAAAGAACAATCTACTATCTAAATTAAGCACGAGGTTTGAAAGTGGCTGTTTATTTAAACAATGTGGTTCGCATAGTGAAGTAAATAAACACGGCCATTGCCCCAATGTTATCTCACGTTAGTGAGCTTGTTTAGATAGAACTTATCATAAACATCTGTAAATACAAGTTGTGAACTAATGAAGGACATCAGGTCAGATGGAAAGTTCGAGAAATAAACATCTTGATAGCACGACCATATCGTACCACCAGCGATAGCCAGTAGCTTAAATATGAAATGAATGGGTTTATGAACTCTGTAGCCGGATCAATGCGAAGATTACGTTTCAGGAGATTGTGCGTTGGTGTACAGTTAAAATAGCTGACTTTCAGGATAAACACGGGAGATTGTCTTTTGATTCTAGCGTCAGTTTAATTTAGAACTCATATTTTTATGATTTAAATTTGAATAAGACAATATTAATTTCTAGGAAACGATATTAATCAAGACACCCCCCCCCCCCCCCCAAAAAAAAAACACCATCGTGCTCTGTGTATAACTGTTTAAAGTTTAATCTGTAGGTCTGAGCAGTCGGTTAATAGAGCAGGCAGACCCTTTCTATTCGGTCCCGATAAGTTCTATTAAGTTGCCCTACCCTTTTCATTGTTCTTTATGTTTATTAACTCAACAGTTCTTGTTTCAAATAAAACGAGTTATATCCATTCTGCTTTGATACGTTTTTGTGTGGACAAAAAAAACAAGTCAACCATTCCAACTGAGCACCGTTGTAAAAAATAGCAGCAAATCCCGCGGATGCCAAGAAGTTTACCGCCCTCCGCCTCGGTTCGCACACTCACCGCCAGCCAACGTACAGCGAGATTTCTAGCCGAGTGAGCCAACAATGGCTTGTTCGTTCTAGTCTTGCTGCGGTTTTGTTTTGTTTTTTAGTTGTACGTGTACATCAGGTCACGTGACGCGTCTGACAGATAATATCTGTGCCTCTACATTGTTTTTTTTAACTGCTGACTGGTTTATTGTTGTTACAGCACGATGACAAATATTGTTGTTATGTAACGGGTAGCTCAGTGTGTCGGGGAGGGGGGGGAGGACTTTTAATAGCACGCACTAACCTCTCTACCACACCGTCCGTCGATTGGGAGAAGATTGGCTGTTATTTAATCCATCGAATTTTATTGCATACAAATAACAATTGTTCGCTGAGATTAAAGTATGATTGGGTATCAATCTAAACCAAAAAACACCACTGGTTATAAAAGCATTCTCAGGCCTGTTATGGCACCTTGTAGTGTGAAATAATTTGTTTTGTTTTTTTACCCAGCATTGGCCAATATAAACATTTTGAATATGCTTCTAGTTGTGTCTTTCTATAACCCAATCACTGAGTTGTGTAAGCCGTTTGAAAAACAATGCCACCTTTTTGTGAGCAGGTAATCATCAACACGGAATGGGGAGCTTTTGGAGACAATGGATGCTTAGACTTTATGAGGACAGAATACGACAGAGAACTCGACACATTCTCTATCAACCCTGGCAAGCAAGTGTGAGTACCAGTTTATCCTTTTCCTGTTCTTTCTCTGGGTTCTTTTTCCAGACCATTCCAGTGTTTTCCTGTGCCTTGTCATGATTATTCGAGTGTTTTTACGTGTTTTCTCATCTCGTCCATTGTTTTCTCATCTTCAATTGCTTTCTCATGTTTTCTCATCTTCCATTGTTTTCTCATGTTTTCTCATCTTCAATTGCTTTCTCATGTTTTCTCATCTTCCATTGTTTTCTCATGTTTTCTCATCTTCAATTGCTTTCTCATGTTTTCTCATCTTCCATTGTTTTCTCATGTTTTCTCATCTTCCATTGTTTTCTCATGTTTTATCATCTTCCATTGTTTTCTCATGTTTTCTCATCTTTCATTGTTTTCTCGTCTTCATTTGTTTTCTCATGTTTTCTTCCCGGGTTTTGTCATGTTTTCTCATCTTCCATTGTTTTCTCGTGTTTTCTTCCTGTGTTTGTTCATGTTTTCTAAGATCTCTCAGGTGTTTTCTCATCTTTTCTAATCATATTTATCTAACACAATCCGCGTTAATTTTGCTACTAGCTTTTCATTTTGAAACAATAGTCACACAAGGATAACTTTCAGCAATAAAATCTTAACTAAACACAACATACATTTTTAGACTTAATTGTTCATCAGAAAGAGTAATAAAACAACCCAAAAACTGTAACTGTATCATATTCTGTCGGCGATTTATTGTTTATTTTTTATTGCCTTTATCAAAGAAAGTCTGTATCGCTCATGTTGCAACATGATTACCTATTTTAAAAAAAAACGATTATGGTTGTTTTGATTTTAAGACAAGCTTAAATTAGATTCGTTTTAGAAGACGTTTGCTTGTGTATTGTTGATACTGTGTGTACAAAGTAAATGATTATAAATGTAAGAATAGTGCCATGTTTTATTACTAGACCTTGTGTAAGTAGAGACATTCGAGGTATTAGTTTTGTTTGTTTATTCTTGCCAGACGGTGCAGTTTTATTGTTGACATACTTTGCGGACAGAAGTCTGGAAATGTAAACCATAAGTTTGTTTTGCTGTTCTTATAACAACCGGGGTCATAGGTCATGGCCATGGGGGTCAGCTGTTAACTGTTAGTGTCAAAGGTCACGATGTTTTTAGCGACGGGTTGCTTCACGTTATGTCATCGTAAGATTTCAGTTGGTCCTGTTATCTTCGTTATTCTATAGCACACAGTGGTTCCCCAACTGTTTCGAGTGGCGACCCCCTTTTATAAAATATAAGGGACCCGCGACCCCCATAGAACGTATGTGGGGGTGTAGTCTAGTTGTAACACTCTACTCTATGGGGGTGTAGTCTAGTTGTAACACTCTACTCTATGGGGGTGTAGTCTAGTTGTAACACTCGACTCTATGGGGGTGTAGTCTAGTTGTAACACTCTACTCTGTGGGGGGGGGTGTAGTCTAGTTGTAACACTCTACTCTGTGGAGGGGGTGTAGTCTAGTTGTAACACTCTACTCTAAGGGGGTGTAGTCTAGTTGTAACACTCTACTCTGTGGGGGGGGGGTGTAGTCTAGTTGTAACACTCTACTCTAAGGGGGTGTAGTCTAGTTGTAACACTCTACTCTAAGGGGGTGTAGTCTAGTTGTAACACTCTACTCTAAGGGGGTGTAGTCTAGTTGTATCACTCTACTCTGTGGGGGTGTAGTCTAGTTGTACACTCTTCTCTGTGTGGGGGGGGGGTGTAGTCTAGTTGTATCACTCTATTCTGTGGAGGGGGTGTAGTCTAGTTGTACACTCTACTGTGTGGGGGTGGGGTGTAGTCTAGTTTGTACACTCTACTGTGTAGGGGGGATGTAGTCTAGTTGTTAACATTCTACGTGGGGGGGGGGGTATTCTAGTTGTCTTGATATAAATATTCTATCGACATGCTGATGTTGTTTGGTTGGTCATCTTCGCTGTTCGATGGTGTTCGACTTTAGTTTCGCTTGTTATATCTTCTATGATACATTGTAAGCATATAAAGTCCGATGTACACATCAGACCATTCTCGGCAACTATTTATGTCTCAACACGTTAAAAACACAATCCTACTTTTAGTTTTGCTCCCTAGTGTCAGAGAGACATAAAAACTTTTCTAATTTTTCAAGCTGTCTTTTTCTTCTCATGACTAATTATGTTGGCACCTCACAGCTTGGCAGTAAGACGTGTTAAATAAGACAACTACTGCACATTATAAAAAGGTAAAATCGTGTAGACGTTTTTTTACACCAAAAAAAAAAAAGCAAAATAAAATTATTGACCGCGATTTTCGATATCATGAGTTCATAGCTCATGCGTTTGGTTGAAAAACAAATATGTCTGGTCCAATACAAATTAATACTTGTTTTATTTTCTGGAAGCCCTACCATAGTTCTTGGGTTGACCCGCTTGTCAGAATATTTCACGCCAAATAGAATAAATTGTGGGTTATTGATTGGTGCTTTCGTTTGTCACTGGCTTCAGACATGAAAGTTTGAGGGTAACTTCCCTTTCTTTTTCTTTCGAGATGTCTGTTGTTTTTATTTCGACGCCTTTTTTTTAAAGTAGTAAAGTTAGTTCCTGGTAAATTAGGTTAAGAATTAATTTCTGAATATTTTATTTTTATTTTTTTATAAAAAAAAAAGAAAAATACGTGAGTGAATATAAACTTTTGGGTGGACATAAAATTTGTAAGTAGGAGACGAAAACCATTCAGTGTTTCTTCCAAACTTTTTTCTCCGGGGGGCGCACTTGAAATTTAATTTTCGGGGTGGGGGGGGGGGGGGGGGTTGGGGCGGACACTGTTAAAAGTATATATTTTCTATTCCGTTTCGTTCGGGGTGGGGCGCCCCCTCCCCTTCTCCCCCCTCCCCTTCCCCCCCCCCCCCCCTCTCCCGCCGAGGAGATGCCAGGAAGAAACTCTGAAACCATCATGGCTGAAACGTTTTGGTTCTTCCGTTAGATTTCCTTCTTGCAATATCGCTACAGGAAGTGACGAAAGTTTGATAGCCAAAACATTCTTACGCGATCTTACGCTGATTTTAAGCAAACAAGACTCAGATTTCTGCGTAGCTTCGCCTGCTAAAGGATATTGATATTAAAACCGCTCTAATTTTAATCATTCCCCAAGTCAAACCTAGTGAGTTCAAGCCAGCCTGAGTCTCATGGGTGCCCTAGGGTAGAATTCTAGGGTTCACTGCATTTTGTAGATTAAAGATTAGGCCAACGTTTGCTATAGATTGCTACATTTTTATTACAAAGCAGACTATGCAAAAAGAAAACAACAAAAAATAAAACTTTTAACACTCAAAATAAAATTTAATTAAACAACAAACCTAAAATATTAAAAATTAAGATTTTTGTTCGTAAATTGGTATTAGTGTTTACATAAGTAGAGCTAGTCTTTACATTAAAACTGTAGGCTGTACCAAACTACCACCCCCCTCTCTCATCCTTAAAACTTTCTCAAGGAAAGGGCGGTGTGGTGTTACTTTCGTCCCCTTTCCGCTAGTTAATTAGACTAAAGCTCCACATATCTTTTTTCACTTCACTCTATTTCTTACTTTAAAAACCTAATTGACAACTTTAATTTTATTTTGGCTTTTATCATAGTTTAATGGGTGTCGATAATGGCATGGAGTATGCTTTTAAAGGAATTTTCAGATTGTTTTTAAGTGAAAATTTGATTTTAGCGAGCTTAATCCACGCATTCGTATTGTTACCCATACTTTAACCCTACTGCTATTGAAACTGTTAAGGTTTGTGGTAAGAGTCAAGACGAAGGAGGTTGAAGCTACAAATCTGGAAGGAACCTGAATAAAATGAACTGAAATAGAACTAAAATGTTGCAAAAAGTAGTGCTCATGTTTACGGCATATTCCAACCAGCCTTGCGCTTTGCCGCTATCTGATGATTATTCCAACAGCTGTCTCCTTCGCGGATACAGATGCGGTGTGACCTCATTATGAATGCCAAAGCTGTTCTGTTACGTGTCTGATGCAGCTGGCATCTCTCATTCTCAGCGATGTTCTAGTTGTATCCGGGTATCTGTCATTAAAGTCATACTCTGATGTTCTAGTTGTATCTGTCATACTCTGATGTTGTAGTGGTATCTGTCATACTCTGATGTTCTAGTGGTATCTGTCATACTCTGATGTTCTAGTGGTATCTGTCATACTCTGATGTTCTAGTGGTATCCGGGTACCTGTCATACTCTGGTGTTGTAGTGGTATCTGTGATTATCTGATGTTCTAGTTGTATCTGTGTATCTGCCATACTATGATGTTCTAGTGGTATCCGGGTACCTGTCATACTCTGGTGTTGTAGTGGTATCTGTGATTATCTGATGTTCTAGTTGTATCTGTGTATCTGCCATACTATGATGTTCTAGTTGTATCCGGGTATCTGTCATACTCTGATGTTCTAGTGGTATCTGTCATACTCTGATGTTCTAGTGGTATCTGTCATACTCTGATGTTCTAGTGGTATCTGTCATACTCTGATGTTCTAGTGGTATCCGGGTACCTGTCATACTCTGGTGTTGTAGTGGTATCTGTGATTATCTGATGTTCTAGTTGTATCTGTGTATCTGCCATACTATGATGTTCTAGTGGTATCCGGGTACCTGTCATACTCTGGTGTTGTAGTGGTATCTGTGATTATCTGATGTTCTAGTTGTATCTGTGTATCTGCCATACTATGATGTTCTAGTTGTATCCGGGTATCTGTCATACTCTGATGTTCTAGTGGTATCTGTCATACTCTGATGTTGTAGTGGTATCTGTCATACTCTGATGTTCTAGTGGTATCTGTCATACTCTGATGTTCTAGTGGTATCCGGGTACCTGTCATACTCTGGTGTTGTAGTGGTATCTGTGATTATCTGATGTTCTAGTTGTATCTGTGTATCTGCCATACTATGATGTTCTAGTTGTATCCGGGTATCTGTCATACTCTGATGTTCTAGTGGTAGTGTCACGATATCTGTCATGCTCTGATTTTGTAGTGGTGTCTGGGTATCTGTCATGCTCCGTACGTGCGAGAAACTAAAAAAAACTATCAGGGGTCAGTGCCGTATCTAGGGCAACGCGGGTGGGGCGACCGACCCGGACGCCGACCCAAAGGGGTCTCCAGGAGAGGAAGAATTTTTTTTCCTTAAAGCTCATTTTAAGCTGAGGTATTGCTTTTGCCTAGAAAAATACCACCAAACTTTCAGACCATGGAGGGGGGTGGGGGAGAGAGAGAGGGCGCTTTTCCCCCAACGAATAACTATCGAACTGATAGTTCTCACCTGGCGCCGGAACGGCTCGCTGCGCATCTGTCGGGGGCACGTCAGCCCCTCATCAACGCCCTGCGTACCAACGAGCTTCTCCCCTAACTGCCCATTTGGTATTGTCAGAAGCACGTCATGCGCGTGTACAACAAGTCGTTAGATGCCGACCTTTGTTCGCATGGTCCACTCGTGTCCAGCGGTCCATCGATTGTGACGCTGGTCCCGATAAGGACAGTGATATCCCGCGCCAGGTCGTGTTTACCATTCACGTGTCATTGGGGCGGCGCTGCAGTGGGATCGATTCATTGAAATACGGGATTAGTATTGGTCAATACATGACGTCACGCTAGTTTAGCTGATGTTTACCCCCACCCTTCTTTGTTATACTCCACTTAAGCCAGACCCACTCCTAATTGACTAATATACAGTCCGGGTGTCCAGAAGACCCCCTCCTCCACCAAAAAATTTCTTTTAGTACTAAGAAGATGATTTGTTTCATCAATTTAGAAAAAAAAAATACAAGTGCTACGTCATATTTCTAGAGCCTTCCCCACTTAGTCTGAACTCCAGCAAGCCCCCCCCCCCCTCACCCCCTCCCGACAGGGTGACGACATACATGGACGATCCACAAGTGATATACTTCTTATAGCCATAACCGCCAGTGCAGAACGGCACCGCACTAAATGGACCAATGACGTTCCATATTCTCGCTCATTGGCCAGTTTATCCAACCAGTGTTGTAGGAACGGAGCAAAAGTTAGACACTTGATACAGCTAGAAACTAGGACGTCATCAATCTTCTGCTGGCTGGTGTCACGTGCTTTCATAATGCAAGGCCAGGGTACTGTTTATATAACAGGGTCATTGGCTATCTTTCTTTTGGACCTAGTTTTACCCTGCTGAGAAACATGGTCTTAGTTTTCTTTCTTACTTCTTATAGACATGAACCAATGGGCTTTTGTAATAAGATAGTGGTCTGCTTTGTGTCAAGTACAAATATTAACACAATTGCTATTGGTCTATCAATGACTTGTGCAAATAGCAACACACAAAAAGGCTAAAATACAATAAAATAAATAAATTGCAAAAAATTATAACTAATTAGATTAGATCTAGGCTATGCTTACATAATTTATTTTTTTATTTTTTTACAACGAAACAAAAAATTTGATGAAAACAATGCACTAATAAAATGACCATACTTCTAGGTCAAATATTATTTTAATCCTTAGAATTTAAAAAAAAACTGATTTTATTTTTTGTATAAATAGTAAATTATTTATTTTAATATTATGGAGAAAAGTAGGCCTACTACATGACACCAATCTTCCAGGATCAGCCATAAAATCTATAGCAAACAGTGCCAGACTGGTCTTGCATCAGACTACTAGAAGATAATCACCTCGTGTTTTGTGCATGGTTTCTGATGTAATCCACCACCAACATTTCAGTTTAAAATCTGCTAGTTTCATTTAACTTTTGATTAATCGCTGTTTGCTGTAACCTCATATAGTTAAATGGAAGCTAGTGTTTTAGAATAGATGATAGTAGATATAAAAATAGAACCATTTAGGTGATATTGCCCTAAATGTTCTCAGATGAAAACAAAAAAAAACTACTTTTATACCCTTATCCTTTCCAGTGCCTTCTACTTCTAATCTAAGGTTCCATAATTACTGGAAGTCATAACATTTTTAGTCAACAATTAAATGAATTTAAGGTTTCTATTAAAAACTTAAAAATAAATTTTCATCTCTGTAACTAAACACTTATAAGTATCAAATGGGCTATATTTTGTTTCATTTAATTTTGAAAAATATATTTTATACTGGATGAAATATTTGAGAAAAGAACAATCAGTCAGTCTACAGTTTCTTCATTGATTGTTTTCATCTTTTTGTTGTTTTATTTTATTTCTGTCCCCTGTTATTGTCTTATTGTGATCTAAAATGCTACATTCTTGCTAGTCTCTATGTTTGGCAAAATTATATTATTATATATATAGCTATCAGATGTTTTTTTTGTCTCTTGATATTTAGGGCCATAGGTCACTAATTTGTGTAGACCTATAAGATTTTTTTTTTAAACATACTAAATTATTTTTGCACATTTTAGTTTTAAACTGAATTTGCATACAAACCTGGTATATGAAAACAGCATTGTTGGAAAGGTAAAGCAAGGATAAAAACTTTTTATCAGTATAAAAAACACTTTCTAATCTAATGAGATGTAGAAAAAATGTTTATGTTTTGTCTATTAGGATGGAGAAAATGATCTCTGGCATGTACATGGGGGAGATAGTCAGACTTGTGCTGGAGAGACTGGCACATGAAGGTCTTCTCTTTAGGAGCGTGGACAGGGACTGCTCTCTGTTTGAGAGGGGACGCTTCTATACTAAATATGTTTCTGAAATTGAAAGGTGAGTTGGTTTTAAATTTGTGTGGATCTTTTTAGGCACCTATTCTGTCTAGCAGTTGTTAAACCATATATTAGATATTCATAGATTTTTTTTTAAAATTTATTTACTAACATTAACATTTAAAGATATTATTAGTATTAAAGTTGTTGAATATCATATGAATTAAACTATTTTTAAAAAAATATATTGGCTATTCTTTAAAATTTTAAATTTTTCTAAACCACATCTGCAACTAACTTAAGGCTATTTTATGTTATTTAAAATTTCTATTATTTTTTAAACCACTTTATAACCAGCTTGAAATAGTGTTATTTTAAAATTTCTCTTATTTTTTAACCACTTGTATAACCAGCTTGAAATAGTGTTATTTTAAATTTCTATAATTTTTTAAACCACTTGTATAACCAGCTTCAGACAAAATGTTTAGCCTTGACACTCTGATCTGTCATTTATTACTCAATCAAATTTGCATTCAGCATCCTTTAACGATGTTTGTCTCTTGTTCCTCCTCGCATAATCAATAACGTTTATCCCGCAATAGTATTATATTATTGTCTCAATTTGAATTTCTAGACAGCTATTTTGTTTCTGTTTTTAAATTCTTTTTTTTAAGGTCATTGTTATAAGATGTCTTTAAGAAGATCATTGTTATAAGATGCCTTTAAATTAAAAGAAAACTGCTGAGTGAAATTACTTTGATCTCCCCTGAGAAATCAGGACCAAAATGAGAGAGTAACACACCCAACTCAGAAATTATTTTTTTTCTTATCTTATCACTGGCCCTGACTGCTTGCTGGCCAGTCACTTAAAAAAACAGGATGTCTGTTTGTCAGTGTTTTAGCTCTAATTGACAAACATAGAATCAAAACATGAGAAGTGGAATCTGGACTCAAAAACATGTTTTTTCACTTTTAGGTTTTGACCACAAGGTTAACAACCGCTCAGACTGATAGTAGAGCCTAAAAAATATTTCTTTTTAAATAGTTTTTAATATACGTTTAGTTTTGAGTATTTAATTGTTGTTTTTGTTTTGTTTTGTTTTGAGTATTTTTTTGTCATTGTGGTACTATGCAAAATCTTTCAAAACACTGTTTATTTTATATAGAAAAAAACATTAAAATAATGTTTAGTGTTCTTTTTAATGTTTTATGAATTATGCATATTGTTTTTCCCAGTGATACAGATGAATTTTTCCGTCACACAAAGCAAGTCCTAGATGAACTGAATGTGGAGAGTTACACAACAGAAGACTGTAAGATCGTGAAATATGTGTGCACCCTGATATCTGCTCGCGCTGCATTCTTGGCAGCAGCTGGTAAGATTTTTATTCTATTTTCATTATTTTTTTTTACTGCTAATCTTGACACTTGCAAATCCTGGCTGAATGTTAGAATTATAAAGTATTAGACTTTACTTGCATTAGACAATATTTTTGTACTAAAAACTTTTATTTCAAATAATGTTTTATAAGAGATAAAAAATAAATAGATCATAATACATCCATTATGTGTGTAGTTAATGCTAATATCTTAATTATTTTTATCCAAATTTAATATTTCTAAAAATTATCATAGATATAAAACTATTAAAGAAATATGTAAGAACCATACACCATAAGTACAATAGCATCCACATATCCTTGCAGAAAAAAACATTAAAGTTAAAGCAGCCTTTATTACCTGTGTAAACATATTGTTATGATGTTAATAAACTATAATGTTTCAGACAGCTCATATAAATATTATGATTTTATTACCCTGATGGGTCATTAAAAACTTCTACTATCATATCTATTCTTTAAAAGATCATAAAAACATGATGCTTTTATACCCATTGTGTTAGGAAGATCTTATAAATATTGTGGTGTTCATTTTCCAAGGTCTCGCCACCTTGATAAATCGTCTGAACAAACAGGACATGACAATCGCTGTAGATGGCTCCTTATACAGATTCCACCCACGATTTCATAACCTCATGTGCCTGAAGATTAAAGAGTTGGTCAAGCCAGGCCTAAAAGTAAGTAAATTTTTATTTACTTTGCACACATAATTTATTTGTCAGCTTGTAAATGTATTTATGGTCAAGTATGCTTTATTTGTTAGCTGAAATTTTTACTGGGGTCTTATAAAATATTACATGTTTTTTTTTTACTTTGTATTCTTACTTAAGTTAAAAGTATTTAAACTGAACTCTTTTAATTTAATAACAATTTAAAAATCTATTGTTTAAAGATTTTACATAATAGATAATGAGCAATCCTTCCCCTACTTAATCTCTCTGCAACACTAGTCTTCCCATAAAAAAAAATATTTTCTAGTCATCCTAACTAACTCTAACACCTCCCCACTCTCCCCTCCCATTACCTTCCCAACCCTCTCAGCTTTCTAGTTCCCCCATTGTAAATGTAGTGTTGCAGGGGTCAAGGTCACCAGCACACTGTGCACAAGACCATATCTTAAAGTTGAATTATTACTAAGGACATTCACTGCACCTAGATTGCACTGTGTAGGTTACATTCAAATGTAGGACACAGTATAAACAGTCCCCTCTAACTGTCTAACCACAGCTCAGCCTACACATAGTTGGGTTTTTTTTTTGCTTGACTGTTAGTTGTTGTTTTTTGGTAACAAGCCAAGATTATATAACAGCTGGTTTTTTGAAGAAGAATATAAAAATGTTACAGCTGAAAGACAGCTTGCATCATCCTATATAAACATCACAGTTTATCAATAAAGTTTGTGGGCACTTATTGTAATGTAAAATTGCAGGCAGTAATTGAATGACAATATTTTTCTTTAAGAATCAGTATATTGATACACAACATTCATTTTCATAAAATGTGTTGTTTTGCTTGGTTTACTGATAGACATGTTACATGCATTTATTTATTTTTTTCACAATAAATATTTTAAAAAAAATTTTAAAGTACAGGGAAAATAAAAACTTGTATGGACACCTTAAGAAACAAAACAATAAGTGAAGTAGGAATTAAGTTTTATGCTGGAATAAACAATGAAAATTATAATAATGTAGTTCTAGTCTAAGTGGAAACACTTTAAACCTTTTCAAGTGTTTTCTTACTATCCATTTTTTTACACCTCTTTTTGTATTTTGAAATATGAATTTTCTGAATACATTGCAGTTCAAGCTGAGTTTATCACATGATGGCAGTGGAAAAGGTGCCGCGCTGACAGCTGCTGTGTCACTAAGACTTCGTCACATGAAACTTGATGGGCCTTCAGAAGAAGGCGCCACGTCTTTTCCATGTGAGATGGTGAAAGTCCAGGCGTAAAGATAGTCACTTCAGTCTCAGCTTGGAGAGGGTGGGGTCGGGGAGGGGAGGGACATCAGCTGTGTGGTGCTGCAGAATTGGCTGTGTTAGCTGGTATATGCTTAATGTGAACTGGTGTTTAAAAAAATGGCTTCTGTATGACTGCAAGTGTGATACGATTATGAGAAATTATTGGTCATTGGCTAAATCTGAAAGAGTTCAAATGTTAACTTATGGCCAGTTTTACATAATTATTGACAGAAAACTTCTTTTTCTAGCCTCACATATTAAAAACACAATAAAAAGGAGCTTTTTAAGCGAAAAAAACGTAAACATTTCATTTAAAAACGTCAACAAATTTATTGGTCTTTCTGTCTTCCTTTCCACCCACCTCTATTTTAAAGCCTGGTAACTTTAATCCCTTTAGATACATGCAGTAATGAATGAATGAAGCTATACCAGCTACAGTGTTGATGTACAAAGACTAAACTGACAATTGTTACCCTTAATCAATGCATTTGTTGTGACAATAGGCATGGTGAAAACAGAGGGATGTCACCATCTTTACCTTTATTCCTATGTGATTCGTGCTATAGTTGCCTATAACAGATTTTTTTTTTGCATAATGCCAAAGAAGTATTTTTAAAATAACTAAAATATCTATGTTGTCTGGTTTTTAAAAATATCCTAGTGTCAATCTTACATTTTAATATTTTTAATAATGTAATTTAAGTTTTATTTTTCCGACATGTTAGAATTAATTTTCATATCCCCATTATTTGAAAAGTTTTTCTTAAAAGAAAGATTTTGTTCTAATATTTTCTTTATATAATTAAAAGCCTAAAAAATATAAATAACCATAGAAACATATTCTAAATAAAGCATTTAACCCAGTAAATTATAGCCAATTTATTTCTATACTTTCTTAAGAACTGCTTGCTTGTACAATGCATTTTTTAGGGAAGTGGAGAAAAAAATTAATGTAAAAAATGTAATGCAATGTACATTTCTCAGTATTAGTTAAATTGTTGTGACTGGATTGAACTACGCTTATTAACTTAATTCTTTTAGAAATAAGATGTAGATTACTAAACAAAATCAATAAAAAAAATATTCTCATTTTATTCCTGCATAGTAACTAACATGGTAGCAAATATTACATTGTAGAGAAAAATCCTAAAGAGACTTTACTCTTATTTTAAAAGAAGCCTAAATTTGTGTACATTTGCTAATATAATATGGAGATGACTGTGATTTAAAATGTTTTTTATGTGGCGATACAATGTATATAATTTAACTTATATGCATTGTACAAATCTTTGGCATTGTTAAAAATGTTTAATTTAAGCAACTGCTAATTGATTTACTTTAAAATGTTATTTTAAATGCCTTCTATTTATTTAAGGAAAAATTGATAATCCACTTAACAGAATTAAATTTTTTTTTTAAATTAAAAATTTCATGGAAGCAGTGTTTATTTTGTTACAGTGTAACATAATAAATCTTTTTTAATGACTTTGTATCCTTAAGGTTTGAAATTGTTTTCCTGCAAATCTAAAACAAAATTGCTCAAACTTGGCTGTTACGATAATGTTTTTTTAAATATATTTGGAATGTAAAGGAAAAATGTTTGAAACTTATGTAATTTTCTTTGGACAAAAATCATTTCAGTATGTTGACTCTGTCCCATGTCTATGTGACCAGAGAAAGGGATGGTGTATACATAATGTTCAACTTAGCTTATAACTTTGCGATTTGTTTAGCGTAATGTACTAAACTAATGTTCTACTATGTTTAATGTGGAATGACTACATTTTAATAATTTAACCCCGTATATTGTTTACTGTTTGAATAAAGATATTTATTTATATTATGTCAAGATTTTTAAAATGTGTATACTAAAAATTTAGATGTAGATCTATCAGCAGTTGAGTGCATTTAGATTGTTACTAAACATTAAAAAATTTAATAACTTATTGAAGCTAATTATTTTGTGAATTGTATAATTGTAAGACATTTAATATAAATAATAGATGATGCTTTGAAGAAAAAAAAATATAACATGCAGTATCAACATCAGATATTCAAATTACCACTCGGAGATTAGTTTTATATCAGATATTGTTTTTTAACTGCTATTCACCCTAAAGATTATTTTTTTTTGGTAACATTTTTTTTTAAACTTTTGGGAATAATTTTGATTTTCAAATTTTGAATCTCAATTATCTAAATGGTTTATTAGCACTTTTTTTATCATTTGTATTTTTCATCTGTTAGAGAGATATCTTTTAAACTGATGTAATTATCAGTCATAAAGCACATCTAAACATCTAAAATATAAAAAAAAAAATATCTACGTGTACATACTGCTCAATAGCATTATTCTGGGAAAAAATTTGCTTAATGTTAATTTGGCTAAACATTATGGCGTAATCTCATAAAAATATAACACCTATTAAAATGTACCTTCATTTAAAAATCATTAAAAAAAAATGTTTCTTGCATAAATAATCAGTCAGAATAGCACCAGTAACTATCTTTTGCTTACCCAATGTTTCTCCCTTTTGTCCTGATCTGTGTCCTTAATTGTAACCGTGGATACAATACCATAGAGACACTTTACAGACAGCTAAGTGGAGACATTACTGTTCATTTCTATGTGTGTACAGAATATAACATGGTAACACTCTGTTTGAAAACTACTAACGTTTTAATTTTCTCTATAGAAATCAAGAAAAATGTTTATTTTGCCCTCATTGACAGCTATTAGTTGTAATGATGTTTATCGCTTGCCTACATATGCTTTTCAGTTATGCTTTTTTTGTAGGTCCTGATTAATAATATCGTTTCACTTCTTTCTTGTAGAAATATACTATCTAACATAAAAATTCCTTGAATTTAAATACTTTTCCATTTTTTTTATATTTCATTTTTTTGCATGACATATATTAAAATGTTTGTACTGTGGGTGGTTAATTAAATTTAGATAATCAACAATTACCAGCATTTGAACAGTTTTCTTTCTTTAGAATAAAGTAGATTTAAACAAAACTGGTTGAAACTAGAGAAAACTTGGTTTTTTATTTAATTTTAAAAAATGGGACTAATATAACAGTGGCCAGCAGTGATATTACAAATGGTCCTTTCATTAAAGGCCTTTTAAAGCAACCTTCCCGTATAGCTATAGCATAAACAGTAATTAAATAATTAATGCATTAAAAGACATAGGGTTAAATTTACGTGTAGACTGAAAGTAAAGTAACAAAATCTAAGGTCTTGAATGGACCTTGTCAGCCTCCCATCATCTGTCACTACACATCAACAATATAGTTTTGATACTTTGTCATATCTCTTGTCTTCATAAAGAACTATCTGAATGACTGAGGTAGAATGGTGCACCATAACTGACAAATACTCTGTACTCTAGAAACAGTTTTATTCTTACGTGTTTCAGATACAATATGAGTCTATTTGTTTTTATTTGTTTTTAATTGGCAATAAAAAAAAGTACTGCAAAAATGCTTACAAATTAAAAGAGAGAGATTAGTTGGCTTTTGTGATAAATAAAATCTGGAACCCGTGATGAAATATTTTATTTTTGATTTTTCAGCTTTCAATTTGGATTTTTTAAAAACATAAACTATGTATACAAAATGTTGAATGTTTTACAGTGTGTTCTTATTAAACAGAAGATTTTTATTACATTAGTAAACAACTAGCATTTTATTTAAAACACAGCTGAAATATTTGATCAAGGAGATTATGATTACATTTGATTTAAAGATGAATCAAAAATGTGCTTTTAGCTGTTTCTTCTGTTACTTTGTTTTAAGTATGCTTTTTAAAACTGTGTTTGAAACTGAAAGCTTGTTGATTCATAAATTGTTTACAGAAAAAAAATACTGTGATTCTTGTTTTTAACTTTTTTTTTCATGTTTAATGCAATATTTTAACACCTAATAAAAGGTAAAATATGATTACTTAAAATGTAATTACTATTTCACCTTATTGTTTAGTTAGTTTCATGTGTTAAGTCACTTTAATTTGTTTCCTAGATCTAGATAATTAATAATTTTTTTTTGGGATTCAAGTCATCCGCTGGTTTGTTTTTCTTACTCCACTTAAGAGATTCTGAACCATACCTATATACTATATAATAAAAAGAGAAAAAAATAAGTTTCCCAGTAACACTATTGATATGCTACCTCTTTATTTATTTTAATTTTATATTTTGTTCTACTCCTAGTTTTCCCATAACAACTAAACACTACAAAAGCAATCTTATTTATATGAATTGTTTTATGTGGGTTTTATTCTTTGCTATCAAGTGAGAGTTATCTACCGCTAGTGTTACATGGCTCTGTTTAACTTGAGTGTAATTCGTTTATTTGAATAAAAAGTGTCTATTCATCCGATCAAATGTTTGGCTGTTTAATTTATATTTGTTTTTTAAAACAACATACAAATTTGAAAACATTACCAAATTTTGAAAATAATGTTTTAGTAAAGTATTATTTGTTCTTGCATTTAAAAAATTAATATTGCATTAAAAAAAACACCATTTTGTTAAAATAAATTATGTCAACTGGTTTTCTTAAGTGAGCTTATCTGCTAATGCTGAAGGACTTTCATTGTAAGGACATTGTCACTTTTTATAGATTGTGACATGTCAAATCTTGTTACTGTCACTAACCAGCTGCTGAGTATATGAGACTTGTGTATGTGGGGTTTAATCAAAGATCTCCAGTAGACTGGACTTAGAAATTGAACCACGCCTCCTTGTGGATTATTTACTGTCCAGACTTACAAGAGGTCGTCCATTAATGACTTCACGTTATTTGTCGTTTTTTTTTCTTCAAAATACTACCTCATTCCCAAATTATCACATCACAAATAGTTCTAGACCTACCACTTTTTTTTTTAAATAATGTCACACCACCCCCTATTTTAAAAATGCAGATGCATCTTGTTTATTTTACCTTTTCATTTCTTTGCCCTTGACGTTTGAATTAGAGGTCTCTCATACCATCACCAAGTCATATAGTAATTAAACTGTAACAATATCATGTGTAAGTTGTGTAATGTGTAGGCATACTTAGGAGACATTTAACCCAGTGTTTCTTCCAGACTTTTTTCTCGGGGGGGGGGGGGGGCACTTGATATTTTCGGGGCGGGGGCGGGTGGACACTGGTAAAAGTATATATTTTCTATATAAATTCCATTGCGTTGGGGGGGGGCCTCCCCTGAAGACTGAAGAGATGCCTGGAATCCTGGAAGAAACTCTGATTTAGCCACAGCTTTCGTTACCTGAGCCCCCTTCTGCCAAATGCCCCAAGCCAATGGGGAGTGATTGATCTATTGAATGTAACAGCCCAATTTGTATGATCTCGACCTTTTCACCCACGCTGTTGTATATCGATCAGGTGCTGTATCGAGCTGCTAACGTCTTGATCAAAGTGACGCGCCTTTACAGCTATTCCGAGCAAAGGACGTCAACTCTCACTGTAAACAACATGTTGTGCTCGCCCCTGATATTCTTTGTGTTCCACTTCACTTATTTCCCCGTGAAAAAAAAAACATAATTTCTGACGATAGAATATTAATGATAGACACTAATATCCAAACTAATACAAGTATCAAGTATTGTGTGTCCTAAAATACTAAACTAAATCACTGTAGGTCACTCACTTCCTAAAACAAAAATAATGAAAAAATAATGCAGATAGTATCTAAAATATTGTGCATTTTTAAGTTCTAAACTTCTCACCAAAATTAGTATATAACCTCAACAAAAATTATTTCAGGTCTTTGTCCCTAAGTTCATACAAGAACTATTGTAATCATATGTACTTAAAACCTCAGCAAAATAAATGATGTCCATTAAAGTAATAATAGTTGGTGACCACATAGCTTGTTTCTTTTTTTTTTTTTAAATAGAAAACACAAAGGCCAAAGATTATTAGAAGATGTTTAAAAACAAAATTATCAAATTAGAGAAATATGAAATAGAGCTAAGTACCGCTTCCGGTTACCGGAAATCACTCAAAAGTTTTGTATGATCTAATTTAATACACTTAAGTGAAACTCTACTTAAGTTAACCGTGTTCACTGTTCACATACACGCACACGCGCGCACCAGTAGCGTAGTGAGGGGGGGGGGGGGCGGGGGGGGGGAACATATGTCCTTAGGGGGGGCCAAAATGGGTTGGAATAATAAATTGAAAGGTTGAGGGGGGTGCAAATCGAAATCTCGAGGATGGGGTGCAAATCGAAAGTTTGAGGGGGGGGGGGGGTGCAAATCGAAATCTTGAGGGGAGGGTGCAAATCGAAAAGTTTGTCCCCGGGCGCCGGGAAGGGTCGCTACGCCTCTGGCGCGCACACATACACACGCAAACATACAGAAAGATTGCAAAACTGGGTTTTTCCGACTTCCCCTATACTCCATATATCAGAAAGTAATAAAATGAATAGACCCTTACAGCATAAATCAAATGCCAGAGTGCGTCTGACATTACTTAAGTCTGGAGTGTGATAGAGGAGAGAGTTCTTTTGTTTAAAAAAATAACTTTTACCCAGGCCTAGTTCATCATAAGCAGCTGAAGCAAAAGGTTACAGCTAGTAATGTATGATTACAATACAGTGAAATTAAAGCCTACTGAAGATTGCTAGAATACACCACAGTTTTAGATCCCAATTCGATACGTTTAATTTAGTTAATCTGGCTTATGATTTACGTTAAACCCTTTATCAAACATCAATCTTAGTGAAGCCTATCGACTAAAGTATTTATAGACATCCCGATTAACATCTAGAACTTCTAGTTCAGTGTCACTGCCCTTTGTATTCTTGTCCTATGCTAGAATGAATCACAGTAGGTGGCAGTCATTGTATGCCCGCGTCTTTCAAAGATGTTATGTTGGACCAGATCCGTGCGGTAACATTCATACGGCTTCATTCAACGTGTCTGCCGCACGCCTAACCTCGTACGTCACGATCTTTTGGCAGAGAGCCACGACGAGGCGATCCGGTTTGGTTCTGGTATTTATTTACGATCTCTGCTACACTGTAACATTGGGTTTCGTCATCACCTTGCCAAGCGCGGCTAATCTGGGACAAATGTCCCGCCGACCTAAGTAGGGGACATTTTTAAAGAACACCTGTCTGTGGAGCCATTTTACAGGATATCCGTTTCTGTCGGGATCAGGGTTTCTTTCAGACATTTCTCTATGTGTGTATGGGGGAAGGGGGGGAGGCACTTTTAAAAGTTGGGCTATATATTTTCTATATAAATTACATACCCCCCGACCCCGTAGCATTGCCTGAAAGAAACCAGTGACGTAGCTAGGAGAGGGCTGGTGAGGCTGCCGCCCCGGGCGACGACCCTAAGGGGGCGCCAAAAGGGGTAGAAAAACAGCTCATTTTAAACTGAGGTAATAAATTTGACAGTCAAAAAGTTGCACCAAAGCAAAAACTAGCGACTGGTAAAAATCATCACCAACCTTCTCAACTGGAGGGGGGATTTTTTACTAACATGAATAAATATAATATAAATGGTAGGGTGGCACAAAATTGATGGTTCGGCCCAAACACCGGAATGGCTCGCTACGCCTCTGAAAGAAACACTGGTTGTGAGGAGAAGGGCACCCACATACCCTTCCTTTTCGATTCATTAAACACGCTCAATAGCTATAATTAACAATACATTCATATTATTGAATAAATAACCTTCACATTGAAAATCACGAAGACTGTAACTTTAATGATCAGCCTTCTCAAGTGGCAATTGCCTGCTAAGCTTGCTAATCTCCATTTATTAACCTTTTATTACAGTTCCAATTGAATGCGTACTATAGTTGTTGTAAACAGCTATTTCTGGACGGCTTCTGTGGCTTTCGTTAACCAGAGGATAACAATGTTTGCCCTGTCCGGACCAACTTTACATATTAAGCTAGAACTGCCCTAATGTTAAACCGATGCGCAGTGTTTCTTCCAGACTTTCTTCTCTGGGGGGGGGGGGGGGGGGGGGGGGCACTTGGAATTTTCGAGGGGGGGGGGCGGACTAAAATTTTCGGGGTATGGGGTCACTGTTAAACGACATATGTTCTATATAATTCCATTTCGTTCAGGGGGGGGGGGGGGCGGTAGACGTTTGTTCCTTATGCATTTCTTAATAATTATTGCGCTTAGTTTTTTATGTACTTATGAATATCAAATTTTCCCTCGTAAAATTAAACCTTTCCAACTATCGCCAAAATTTAAAAATGCATCCATGTTTGTCAAATGACTAGCAACAGACACATGTAATCCAGTGTTACGTCAAGTTCAGGGACTGCATGGTCCAGTGACTCGACACACTCCAGTGATTTGGTTACCGATAAGCCCCCGCTTTGTTGTGTGTCTGTCATTCATACCTTGAATCAGGATGTGCCACGAACGTTGCGGTTTTCGGCTGGAAAACTTCACGGGGAGCCTATCTAAACCGGTTTGGCAGACAGTTGTGACCAAAAATAAAATTAATTTTCCTTAACAATTTAAGAACGTTAAGCAGAGTACTAATCCGAATTGTGTTTTCCATAAAAATTAATTACTTAGTATTAAGCGTTATTCGGTTTACTTATACACTTTTGTCGGACAGCAGAATGGATAAAAACGTATTATAAACAGATGTTTGGTCACAAGAAAGTGGGAGAGAACTAGTTCAGCGCTTGTCGTACATCTTCAACATTTTAACAGTGCGATGTATCCCTGTCCTAGAGCAGTTTCTGTGTCCACAATATTTTACACACAGCGGGGTAAACGTTATGGTGAGGCTCAGACGACACATTTGCGTTTGGTCTAAAAAAATTGAATTTATTTCAATATGAGCAGCAGGGTTTCTTTCAGACATTCTATTTCCGGTGTGTGTGTGAGTGTATGGGGAGGGAGGGGGTGGGTGGACATTTATAGGGGGACGGGTGCTCACAATCGTTAAAGTATATATGAAGGGCTCAGTGGAAAAAGTACTTAAGTGTATTTTGAGAGTTTTGAGAAAAATGAGTTCAAAGTTTTTAAATTGAAGCCGAAATACCAAAACAGCTGATGCAAAGTATTCGAATTAAGCTACTTCGGTACTTTTTCCATGGACCAAATTTACATGGATGGTTAAGGATAGGTAATCAAATAATAATTACCGGTCCTAACTCATTTTTGAAAAAATGTAACTTAAGTACTTTTTCCACTGAGCCCTTCATATTGTCTTTTTAAATTGTATATTCTAACACTGGATATGTTAATCCTCCCACCCCATGTATATACAATATATGTATATATATATATATATATATATATATATATATATATATATATATATATATATATATATATATATATACATATCAGTGGCGTAGCGAGGTCGGGTGTCACCCGGTGCGGCAC